CCCCATCTTCACGCTCCGGATCGAGCCTATCTGTCGAGCCTTTTCAGGAGCGATGGTTTATGATACGTGCTGGTCAGATGAAAAATATAAGGGTGACATTTTCCAGAGTTTTTCGCTCGCCGTTCGACCGTAAACCAAAACGAGTCGTGTGAATTAGCTCATTCAAAACGAAACAGAGATGCATTTATCTCAAGCGGACGGCTCACGGCTGATGTAGCAGCTGGCTAAGTTCTTCCATTAAATGTATTTTTTCAAAGAGCGATCCTCTCTGGCCTTAGACAGGTTCACAAACGGTGAGACTTTCCATGGCTCTGCTCGGGGACGGCTGTTTATTTGGGACTCGGCTTTATTGAGAGGCCACAGCTACAGGCCGACAAATGAGCTGGACACAAGTGGAGAAAATGCTGTGGAGAAGTAGCATTTCAACTCCCTAAAATCAGATTTTTGCCAAATGTATCATATCTGATTCGTACGGTTTCTGAAGTCTTTTGGATCTGAGACTTTTTGCATCATTCAGTGGTAAAAGCTTTGCTCAAACCCCTGTTGTACACATTCAGATATACCTGATAACAGCCAGTAGAAGACTACACCAAAATATATTTTTGCACGCTAATTTGATCAAAATAATTTGTTTTTTTATTCATACGTTGTTGAGGGGCCAAAGAAAGACTTTAGACTAAAAAAATCCAATATTCTTCCTATTTTTCTTGGATCAGGCTTTAAAGGGCTAGAAAAAGCTACAAAAAGGGTGATTGGATCTCTATTTTTCTGTTTGTCTGGGCTCAGGGGCGCCTCTGTTTTGAGCTGTTTGGGGACCTTTTTAATGTAGAAACTGTCCAATGATCAGAAAATAAATTTCAAATCCAGACATTTGCTCACCCTGCCATGGTTTCTCCACTCAGCCACAGCCCCACATTCATATTAGGGATCTCTAAAAGTGGTTTTTCCTTCTTTTTCCTGATTGTTCTGATAGAAAATCCCACCCAGAAGAAAACGCAAACTCAGATTGAAGCACTGTGAAAAGGAGATTAACATGTATCTTATCTTTTTGTGGACCAGCTTTGGAGCATGTGCATCAGTTCTTACATTTCACATCAAATACCGAAAGCCTCGTTCAGTTTCTTGGCTGTTTTCTTCCAGAAACCTCACAAAAGCTTTGATTAAGACCAGCAGATAAGAGACCAGCATCCTGCGTTATGTCTGCATGTGGGAACTTAACTTAATGTTTCTTTTTGCAATAACTCGGTGCAATATATATGTATATATATATATACTTCTTTACCCTGCACATTCCACATAACACTCCTCCTTCCCCACACACACACATACACACTAAAACCAACCCCCATGGACATGGACAATACACGCACCTTAGTTTAGCTTTGTCTTCAACTCAATTGTTTCTTTTTGCAATCAACTCAGTGCAATATTCATTGATGTTTCTTTTTGTAATAACTATGTGCAATAATATGTATATAAATGCTCTTACCCTTTATATATCTAGATCTTAGATATAGAAAGCATATTTATTAAGTAGGAATAAGGTCTTAGCTCTGTCACACTGGTAGCCAAGTAATCGACATTTCGATGTCAAGATTCACCTTGTGTTTTTTTGTACAATGGCAATAAAGGAAGTCTAAGTCTAAGTCTAAGTCTAATATAGCTAGCTCTTGGCTCTTAGTTATAGAAAACATATTTATTGTGTATGAATAAGGTCTTAACTCTGTTACACTGGGAGCCAAATAATCAACATTTCGTTGTCAAGATTCACCTTGTGTTTTTTTGTGCAATGACAATAAAGGAATTCTAAATCTCTAAATCTGGAAGGCAAAGCCGGCATTTGTGATTTTTCTCATCAGGAAACCGATGATTTAAAGTGACCTCTCACATCCACGTGCGTAAAGACACGCGTTTGGTTACAGCTCCCGTGTTTGGATGAGATGTTGGAGCCTCTGAGGACTCAAAGACCGATTCAAGGCGGCCTGGAGAGCCAACAGGGGGCGTCTCCCACCTCCAGCCCCCTCCCCTCCCCCCTCCCCTCCCCTCCCCTCCCAGCGCGTGGAAGAAGGAGGTATTGGGGATCGCCTTCTAGACAACAAACCCACATTCAAAGAGGGGCAACACGAATGACATCACGCGGCGAGGTGGAGGATAAAACGCGGGTTGGCGGCTTTTGAGCTCCGCACTCTCACCGCGGAGGAGAGACCCCTCACACCCCTCACTCAGCACCATGCCGAGCCCGCGCGCGAGCCGCGGAAGGACAGAGCCGGCACCCGTCACGCGCCCGTCTCGGATTTTTACTATGGGAAACTACTGATTTGGGACTCTGATTTGGGATTTGGGAGAGAGAAACGCCTGCTTTTTTTTTTTTTGGGAAGACGCTCCGCGCGTAATTACGCACAAGAACAGCGGTTCAGAAGCGCGGGGCCACCACCGCCACCCGTGCGCGCGCGCGTGCGTGCGTGCGTCCAGGGCTCACCCGTCGGTCATGGATCATCATCATCATCCTCACCGGCGCGCGACCGTCTCCCTGCTCGTGCTGTCCCTGGGACTGCTCCTCGCGCACCGGGGGGGTTGCCAGCACTACTACCTCCTGCGCCCCATCCCCAGCGACAGCCTCCCGCTGGTGGAGCTCAAAGAGGACCCGGACCCGGTCTTCGACCCCAAGGAGCGGGACCTGAACGAGACCGAGCTGAGGAGCATCCTGGGGGACTTCGACCACCGGTTCCTGTCCGCGTTCCCGCCGCCCGCGGAGGACAAACCGGACAAACCGGACGAACCGGACGAGCTCGAGGGCTCGAGGCAGATTCTGCCCAAAGAGATCCGCGCGGTGGATTTCGAGGTCCAGTTCGGGAGGAAGCTGAAGCCCAGCCGGAAGCTGAAGAGGAGGCTGCAGCAGTGGCTGTGGGCGTACTCCTTCTGCCCCGTGGCGCGCGCCTGGACCGACCTGGGCAGCCGCTTCTGGCCGCGGTTCGTGCGCGCGGGCAGCTGCCCGAGCAAGCGCTCGTGCTCCGTCCCGGAGGGGATGCTGTGCAGGCCGGCCTCCTCCACCCACGTGACCGTGCTGAGGTGGAGGTGCGTGCCCCGGAAGGGCGGGCTGAAGTGCGCGTGGATCCCCGTGCAGTACCCGGTCATCACGGACTGCAAGTGCTCGTGCGCGAGCTAGAGACACGAGACACTTACCCCCAAAAAGTTAAATTATAAGCTTCAATATTTTTCTAATTATTGTTTTTTTTTTTTCTTCCACGTGCACTACGGAGTGTAGGAATGTATTTTGTCTGTATATGTGTTGTCATCCAGTTTTTATACATACAACTCCCTGTACAAAGGCAGTATTATTTGTAACCAGAGTCTACTTTATTTGTGGAGAATATTGGTTATATATATATATAAATATATAAATATATATATTTGTATTTATGGAGCAGTGGCGGGCAAAGCCACTTCGGACTCGCTCTTTTTCACATCCACCTCAGAGTTCAACGATTATGGATACGATCACGTATCAAAGACTGGTTCTATCCTGTAAATTAAGGAAGTGTATTATTTATTCTTCATATTCCTACAATAAAAGGACACTGAAACTGTTTGAATGGCTTCGATTCTCCTTTTTCCGAGTCACCTGCCACATGTGGAGCCAAACTCATGTTTAAAGTGATCCTCAAACTTTTCTCAGCCTCTAAACTAGCAAGAAACGTGGAGAGTAATCCAAAATTTCAAGCATTTGATGAGTGAACCCTTCGGCCTGCTGTACATTTTAAATTGTGAGTGTGTGGGAAACGTCTCCATGGTCAGTGGTCGGTCCTCTGGATTCAACAAACGCCACAA